AGTACACACACGTAGTCACAAGTCATACAATATATAATAAAAGAAGTTAAAACAATTCTTATCTTCCAATTTTTCCTTGTTTTCATTTAAATAGTTTTTAACTCCAATTGTTTTATTCAGGTTCCTAATATATATTTTTAGTTCTTAATTTCTTAATTTTTCTGTTTTGGTTCCTAATTTTTCTGTTTTATATCCTGATTTTTATGTTTCGGTTCCTAATATTTATGTTTTGGTTCCTAATATTTATGTTTCAGTTCCTAATTTTTCTGTTTCATCTCCTGATTTTTATGTTTCGGTTCCTATTATTTATGTTTTGGTTCCTAATATTTATGTTTTGGTTCCTAATATTTTTGTTTCAGCTCCTATTTTTCTGTTTTAGTTTCCTAATACTTCTATTTAGGCTCTTAATTTTTCTGTTTCTGCAGTTCTTAATTTTGTTTTCAAGGTTCCTTAGTTTGCTTCACAATTTCTTTCCGAAGTCTGATGTTCAGTTTCGTTTTATTTTTTTTCTCTAATTTTCATTTAACAATTCTGTTCACTAACATCTTATTTTACATACAAATTAGGTTTTTTTGCTGTTTTTCGTTTTGTATCCAATAAGCGTCAAAACGGGTCGAAATTTAAAAAAAATGATTTTTAAATTTTAAAATTTACTTTACATGATATGACATTACATTAATGTATTTAAAGGAAATGTACACGTAATTTTCTTACTTTACAATTACATTAATGTATTTAAAAATAGTAAAAAATAATCTACAGAAACTAAGAAATAAATATTCAAATCTTAAATTAACAAATGAAAACTGAAGAAACAGCCAAATGTTTCGATAATATTATGTTAAAATGTACGAATGTGTAAAGGGGTTGTTTCTGTAAGATTAGTAATGTAAAATGCTAACCCCTGTCTATAAAGAGAGAAGAATAAATTATGTGGAATTTATTGCAGATAATAATGGTTGGAAGAGAAATTAAAAATCAATCAGAATTAACTTCAATATTTCTTTGTTTCAATTCTCTCTATTATTATATTTACATTTACGGGGGCGTCACAACTTCTGCTGGGGATAAAATGTGATCCTGGTGAAGAAAGATTTATCTGGCAAAATCGTATACTAGGAAGAAAACTTCTTATACAATAATTTGAATTGTACTTCGTTATTACTAAAATCTTCTCTGCAATGTACAAAACTCCCAATTTGGAGCGACATATAATTCAGTACGGTTGAATTGAGTCTTTCCACAAACACTGATTAATCTAATCCCTATAATCCCAATGTTGTAGACCTTAGAATTCTGTTATATTAAATAGTCTTAAGTTTCAAATATTAAAGATGAACACTATCAGGTTTTAAAGATATAGGGATTTACAAATTTGTGTTTGAGACAAAGACTCAATTTTTTTCCGGCTCTGGGGTTCCTTGTCTACCTTCCCTGCTTTTAATGATAAAAATGTTGTAAGCATGTAAATTTTACGGTCTAAAAGATTTTTATGATCCAAGCTTGATGATTCTATTCTATATCTTGTCTTGTTCAAGGGGTTCAGAATCAGACAATTCAATTATTCTTATCTCACGAACAAAAGTTTATATCTTATTATGTTACATTGAAACATTATTATGACAGATCAAAGTTAAACTTAATAAAATATCAATTTTTCAAGTGCTAGCTGTAAGTTGATAAAAATAGTTAATAACGCATACAATAATAAATGCAGGTTAATGAGAAATGATTGTATTGTATATATATTGATTTGACTGTATATTTGTATGAGTGAATGTGAATATATATTTGTTTATGATAAATTAGTTTGGTTTGAGAATATATCTATTAGTAGAACTCAAGACAATGCATAAACTACCCCCAGGGGACATTTTCAAAATAGTATTCTTGTATTCTAGTATTCTAATCTATTCTAGTATTCTAATCTATTCTAGTATTCTAATCTATTCTAGTATTCTTATCTATTCTAGTATTCTAATCTATTCTAGTATTCTAATCTATTCTAGTGTTCTAATCTGTTCTAGTGTCTTTGGCTTTTCTAATTCTTTAAAAAGGACTCATATTAAAACCATGAATTTTGGTATATCAAATAATACAAGTTTGAAATTTCAAAGCTTTATGCCATCATGTTGCAAAGATAATTAAGCTGCATGTGTAGACAAACACTCTAATCTCTGATTAGATATAAGCTAAGATAATTAAGTTGCATGTGTAGACAAACACTTTTCCGCAAAAACTGGATAATTTTGTCATCTGACAAAGGAATTACTGCAGTCTTTGCCACAAACTCAGATTTTATAATCCTAATATCGATGCCACCCAATGTCGGAAGACCTTTGATATTTCAAAATATAAATTCTGCTAGATCAATTAGTCTTGAGTTTGAAATATCAAAGGTTTACTCCATCAGTTAGCAACGACATAGGGATTAGACAATTTGAGTTTGCTGGAAGAAATCGGTTGATTTGCTTAGAGTCTTTCAATTCTCAAGAAGTTTGTTTATATTGATTAATTTTTAATTACTATCTCGGTATCATTTTTTGTAATATCCTGGATTCCTTATTCATTAGACATTTTTATCATCTTGTCAAAGAAACTGATTACTCGCTACAAACTCCAAATTAATCTCCATATCTTACTTTAAAGGTTGACTCTTTGATCTAGTAGAGATTATAGTCATAGCAAAGGTCTGCGAAATCTGATTAAAAAGATATAAGAGATAGAACATTCGAATTTGCGTCGAGTAACATGATTACAATTATTTGAAGAGTGTTTTACACATTTTGTTTTGTATTTCGTACTTACGAATACAATTTTTTTTTATCATATTGTTCTAATATCTTTTCCGTTTTATCTTAAACCCCTATTTTGCAACAAATCTATTTATCTAATGTTTAAATTGTACTTGGTATATTAGTATCTTCGTATATTTGAGAATGTATTAATTCTGAACCCATCTGAGCTCTGGGTTAGGATAGGGAGAAGATGGATTAATGGATAGAATGGTAGGGATAAGGATGAGATGGGAGATGACTTTAGTCTTTGCTCCTGGTTCATCTTGATTAATGGAGAGAGAGAAGGAGCTAGTCATAGGTTCAAGTTTAGAGACTCAAGGTTCCAGGGGGGGGGGTCATCTTCCTTTCCATCAAATATCCAATCCTTGGTCAATTTACAAGAGATTCAATCCTGCTGATCATTCTCTTGTATCCTGGCTCTATCCTATATAATCATAAACCCATTAGCCTGGACATGTATTCTCAGGGTTGTACAGTAAACCTGGAGCATTAAAGGGACTGTCAACGATTTACAATATTACTTGATTCAAATTTATTGTCTGTACCATAACTTCTCAAATAAAAGTTTACAGAGATATATGTTATAAATCCTTGATGGCACTCTTTAACCCACCAGCGGCTGCGGTGACTTATACGTCCCCTATAAATTATTTTACATAAAACTCATCTATTTTCCTCAATTTTGAGTTTATCTCCGCGGGAGTCATTTTATGATACAGTAAACAATATGGGACACACATGTGTACAGTTAAACGGTTCTACCTACTCATCTTCCAAATTATTTAACCGTGTAAAGTTGAGGTGTGAACAATTAAACTAAATTTATGGAAAACAAAAAACAGCAGCCTTTAAGGTATNTATTGTTTTTTAGTAATGTTTGAAAATAAAGAGTAAACGTATTGTTGGGTAAATAATAGTTCCTATGGCCATTTATATAACATTTTAGTTAATTAATTTTGCCTTTCTCATAAATTTAGGAAAAATTCTGTAAACCCGCCCTGCAGCAACTGTGGTGACTTATAAGGCCACTCTTAAAATCCCTAAAAAAACACCTTTAAAATTTTTTTTTTGCATTTTTTACTTTTTTTCCTTGATCTAACCAATAATAAGTATTCTTAATCAAATTTTCAAAGAAAAATATAAAAAAAAATTCTTCAGCCGCTAGTGGGTTAATATAGGGGTCACTTGAAATTACGTTGTTAATTTCTTTGGTAATTAACAATAGTTTCTTGTTTATTTTCTTCTTATCTTTATGTTGCTTAAGCTTCGTATGCTCCTTATTTCAAAGAGTCGTTTTGTTTATTCTTTTCTTGATTTTTTTCTTCTTAATTTTATTTACCAATTAAAACTTTTTTGCTTATCTTTGTTCTAAATCTATTTTATCAATTGGCATCTATATAAATAAAGTAGTAAGCAGAACTCCGATTTGACTCAAATTTTGATTGAAAAACTCGGTAAAACTACGGGAATGTGATTAGCTTGGTTTAAACTTCAGTGTTGCATTGGTTGACTTTTATCTAAAAAGTTTGGTCTTCAGTGCAGACAAAGCTGGGTTCCTTAGCTAGTTCTATATATTCCTGCAGCGCCCTTCACTATTCTCACATTTTTGGCTTTCCGTCTTAGCTCAAATCATTCCGTCTTATATTTATCTAATATTTTCATTGGAGTAAACTTTCTTTGAGTTAATGTTGATCTATATTTATTTTTTATTTTTATTTTATCTTTCAACCCTCTCATTGTTGAACCCTCCTGTCAACTGAGGTATTGTTGAAGCCTCCTGTCAACTGAGGTATTGTTGTGTATAAACCAAATCTATTTTCTCGCTCTCTGATCTCACTTCCCCTGCCTTCCTCATGTCCTGGTATTTATGGTATCTGTATCCTAGATTGTCTTAGTATCCAGTGAATGTTGCTGCTCAATAGTGCTGTTCCGATGGTGGTTTGGGCTCTCCAAGATGGGGGAGGGGGGAGGGTGTACATATCCTTGTAATCTTATATCTATATAATAAAGCTCTTCGCTCATATAATATAAAATGTTAGCTTTAGCTGGCTAAACGGATGAACCATTTTTGCTGAAGTTTTTTTGAAGAATCCCATGGATACCCTGGGGGTGACGAAGGCTTTTTTGTCAAAATTCGAAATTTAGATTTTTTTGTTATTTTTTGATTCCACGGTCAACGCCGGGAACTTCAGCTGATACATCATATATCCTTAAATATATTATATCTCTAGGTTGTGTGTATACTCTGTGGAGAGCCTGGAGCTGGTAGCCAGCTTATCTCAGCTCGGATTGAAGGGTGACGTAAGGTTTGCTGTATTGGAGAATGGGAAGGTTGCAGTTAAAGCTGATCTCCAGGTTGCTGAAGGAGCTGAAGGAGAATATACCTGGGGAATCTATGAATTCCCCATAGATTACACAGAGGTAATCTTCTCAACTTTAAGGGACTATTGGAGAATTTTTGTGTGACCCCGGCCCTTCATTTTATAGAGGACAATTCACGATTCACAGCAATACCCTTTACACCTTCATCTCATCAATGGTAAAGAAGCTATTGTCGGGTTTACAGCTTAAAAATTGTTTAATTCGCACAATTTTCTTTATTGTTTCTGAAATATGAAATCTGCAATCTAATTTTATAAAGAAATCACAATTGAAAATAACCAATATCTTATTCATTCTTTATCATAAAATGCTTTTAAGAGTACCGTTGTGGGCATGTCACTCTATTAATTGAAGGTCACAAAGAATTTAGCCTACAGTCTCTTTAATACACCCTCCCTCCTGCCCTCACAATATCATGATATCATAATTCCTTATAAGTTTATATAGAGCCAAATTTACCATGAATAATAATTGCCGACTCTCACAGAATATTGCAAAACATTATGGTACAATCCATTACAAGAGTTTGAACTAGAATTACTCTTTCATGTAGGTATTAGAAAAGAACAATTTAAGTTCGAGTAGGAACCAAAGAGAATAGAATATATAGAGAAGAATTAAAAGAATCTCTCGGTATGAATTTTTTCAGTCCCTTTCAGCCTGAAAGGGAGTTCAAAGTGTACAAATCATGTAAATGTTCACAAATATATGCAGTAGAGTACATTAATACAGTATGTTCCCTATACTATCCATTTCAATTTCGAATTTTTGAAACTGTTAAATAAACTTTATAATGAATTAGGTGAATAAAAAACGTCATTTGATTTATAGTTATAACGGAAAATCATCGTTTGTAAAGTGGAAGGCATAGAGCCTATGTGAAATGATCATTGGTCAAATATGAAACCAGCCTATTTCATAATTTGGTTTTCTTTTAATAATAATTTTAGATTTTCTATAAAATGATATTCCAGGGCCCAAAAGGTTATATAGCATAAATATGTGAAGTACACCTGCAGTATGGAAACAGTACAACAAAATGGCCGTTTTACACTTTTTTCTAATAAATTCCTCTCTATATATTCTATTCTCTATGGTAGGAACCCTGTTGATTCGAGTAGGAACACTGTAGGTTGGAGTAGGAACCCTGTAGGTTGGAGTAGGGATCCTATAGGTACTGGAGTAGGAATCCTGTAGGTTGGAGTAAAAATCCTGTAGGTTGGAGTAGAAGTCCTGTAGGTTGCAGTAGGACTCCTTCACACTGGACTAGGAATCCTGTAGGTTGGAGTATGAATCTTGTATACTGTAGTAGGAATCCTGAAGACTGGAGTAGGAACCCTGTAGACTGGAATAGGAACCCTGTACACTGGAGTAGGAATCTTGTAGGTTTGAGTAGGAATCCTTTAGACAAGTAGGAATCCTGTAGACTAGAGTAGAAATCCTGTAGATTGTAGTAGGTACTCTGTAGTCTGGAATAGGAACTGAGGTAAGAGTAGGAATCCTTTAGGTTGCAACAGTAGGAATTAAGTAGACTGGAATATGAACCCTGTACACCGGAGTAGGAATGCTGTAGGTTGGAGTAGAAGTCCTGTAGGTTAAAGTAGGAATCCTTCACACTGAAGTAGGAATTCTATAAACTGGAGTATGAATCATGTAGGTTGGAGTAGAAATCCTGTAGGTTGGGAGTAGAAGTTCTGTAGGTTGAAGTAGGAATCCTTCACACTGGAATAGGAATTCTATAGACTGGAGTATGAATCCTGTAGACTGAAGTAGGAATCATGTAGACTGGAGTAGGAATCCTGTAGGTTTTAGTAGGAATCCTGTAGACTGAAGTAGGAATCATGTAGACTGGAGTAGAAATCCTGTAGGTTGAAGTAGGAATCCTGTAGACTGGAGTTGGAATCCTTTAGGTTGGGGTAGGAACCCTGTAGACTGGAGTAGGAATTCTGTAGGTTAGAGTAAGAACCCTGTAGACTGGAGAAGGAACCCTGCGGGCTGGAGTAGGAAACCTGTAGGTTAGAGTAGAAGTCTTGTAGGTTGAAGTAGGAATCCTTCACACTGAAGAATGAATTCTATAAATTGGAGTAGAAACCCTGTAGGTTGGAGTAGGAACCCTGTAGGTTGGAGTAGGAACCCTGTAGGTTGGAGTAAAAACCCTGTAGGTTGGAGTTGGAAGTGAACCCTGTATGTTGGAGTAGTAGTCCTGCATGTTTAAATAGGAATCCTTCACACTGGAGTGAGTATTCTGTAGGTTGGAGTAGGAATCCTGTAGACTGGAGTAGGAATCTTCATGCTAAAAAATTCCTCCGGACTATAATAGGCGGATACCTAGCAGAGTATTTGCGAGGTAGGTCCCTCTAGGTCCCTCTATGTTCCTCTAGATTCCTCTAGATTCCTCTGGGTTCCTCTAGGTATAGGCAGGATGAGGTTGGGGTAAGAATATGGATAGAGATGGTTAGGTGGAAGGAAAGGAGAGGGGAGGGAAGAGCAGGGGGGGGAGGAGGGGGAGTTTGATTTATGATATCTACGCTGGAAATCAATCTTGTTTACGTTGAATCTATGTCAGGCACCCGTAGTTCATTCTTTCTTATATCTTGAACTAAGATTTTATCTGTTTTGTTTAAGATCCTAATATGGAGACTTACAGGCCCTGAATAGACCTGGAGGGGCTTAATATACGTATAAACATTAATAAATTCCCACACTAAGAGCCGAGTTTAAGATTTGAGCGGCGGAGTCTTTATTTTGATTGAATCCGACCTAAACAATGCAGGAACCGAGTTTTTGCTCTTATCCAAACCATTCGTCAACTACATTACTCATCCTATTAAATGCAACGGTTGGAGGAGCTGGGGGAGCAAAAACCTTGGGACAAAACCGCGCGTCAACATTTACTGTTTACCAAAGTTAATTACTCATTTATTTATATTTTACCAAATATATTTTTTCAGGAAGATTACTGTCACAGTAGATTCTTGGGTCGAAAACCTCGGATAAATCTGGAGGATATGGTTGGTAAACTTATCCTACCCAGTGAGTCCCCTGTTATACTACAGATGGACGAGGTTGTCCTCATGGGAGAAGGAAGTATCTGGGGGACAAGTCTGGTCCTGGAGGGACCCAGCAGGGTTCGAATCTGTGCAACTATTCTCCCGGAGGGGGACGGAGTGCGGGAGAAGATTGCAGAGGCAAGGTTTACGTCTCCGGTAGCAGGTTCGATCTTCTTCCATACACTTAGTGATGGGGAGAAAATAGAGACGAAAATATTCAGCAACCTGTATAATGTTGTTCAAGGCAAGAGCACGGATCATGGTTGGCAAATCTTCATAACTGATATTCTTGGAGCCAACAAACAACGATCAAGTTGTAATTTTCTCCAGATCATTTACGATCCTGACAGCAAGGACAGTTCGGACTGTTCTCAGGACTCCCCGGAGAACTGTAAGAGCGGAGATCTGACCGGAAAGTTTGGCAAGGTTCGGGCTGGAAAGGAGGAGAGTATGTTCACCAAGAAATATTTAACGGATCGAAACCTTGTTTTCCCTGAGCTAGAGGGTACCCGGAGCCTTTACCTCGCACTCTATGACCCGGAGCAGGAGAATAACTACTACGCCTGTGCTCAGATCCACGAACTCAACCCTAGGGTTGGAAAGGCAAGATTTAGACACGAGGGTATCTCCGGTCACATCACACTCATGCAGAGATCTATATTCCATCCTGTAGTATCCGAGGTTAGTCTGGCAGGATTATCCGGAGAGGCGGGGAGTTATCATATCCATGAGTATCCGGTTCCACCCCGGAGGAAACCTGAAGATGCTCCCTGTGGACAAACCGGACAGCATTACAACCCTTTCAATATTGATAAATCCATGAGTCCTCCCTCCAGCCTAGGAACCAGTGATCAGTACGAGGTCGGAGATCTGAGCGGAAAATACGGAGATCTTCAAAATAAAACTAAGATGGCAGGAGTGTTTGTAGATCCGGCTCTGGTTCTCTTTGGATCCAGGAACGTGGTAGGACGGAGTATAGTTATCCATCATTCTCCTGTACCTGACCGTTGGGTGTGTGCTAACATAGAACTAGTGGACTCGGAGATGTTAACGGCGGTAGCAAAGTTTGTATATCCTATAGCTGGTCGGATCATATTTAGACAGAATATCAAGGATCCGCTCTCCGATACATTCATTTACGTCGAGGGACTCCTCTACAGCGACGGGAGCAAGAACAAGACGGAGGGGCACAAGTGGCATGTTCATCAAGATATCCCGGGGAAAGATTTCTTTAACTGGACGGGTAGATGTCTCAGCGCTGGAGATCATTTTAATCCTTACCAACTCAATCTAGAAGACAGGTAATGATAATTCCTTAGCATTTATCGCTTAAATATGATGAACATGTCTGTCTGTTAGCTATAGCTGGCTAAACGGCTGGACCAAATTGAATGAAATTTGTTGAGGAAAATCAAGGGTACCCTAGGTGTAACAAAGGTTAAAAAAATCGAATTTTTTAAAAATCCACGTGGAAGGCTAGTATAATTCTAAACTATTCCACTATTTTCTATTTTTAATTTATAAGTTTAGAACACACAACCTTGTTACAATGATATTAAAATACATATTCATAAGTCGTACTTTGTATAATATGGAAGGTTCAATATTTAAAAGACAATACTACCTCTTTTCCTATTGTATCCGTCCCTCCCCTGGTGTTTCTTAAACATCCTGGAGCAAGATTTAGATCGTGGGTTTGATCAAACTGTGCGCTAATTGAACCAGGTTTTTGCGCACCGCCTCGTCAAACAGTTTTTCTGTGTCCTGTCAACTTGGTTTTTTTCCTCGTCAAAAAAGTTTCTATTTGTCTTGGTAAAGGTTAGATGCCAACCCTTCCTGGTGTAGTTAAGCCTGAAAACGTTATGAACTATTTACAACTTAAATAATAATAATTGATAAACTAGCGTTAAATATTGAACAAATTCATTAGTTCGGTCCTATATATAAACAAAGTAATTTCTTATCATGAAATAATCTATATATATATTTTGTCAAATAATGACGATTTGAGTCTCGTATGCTATATTTTTTCAAGAACCGATCTCGCAATAAAAAAGTTATAGGGAAATGAAAAAATATTTTCTTTTTCGCAAAGAAAAAAGTCAATTGTGACTCTCAATAAAAGGCTTGTTTTTTTTCACATATTTTTCGTTCTGAGAAAGATATAATGAAAATACTGATTTGTAATTTTGTTGCACATTTTATGATATTCAGCGTCAATTGATCATATTTAATTTTAATGCTGTTTAAACTCTTAACTTTCAACTAATACACCAATTTTAAATAATTTTGGTTAAAGTTCAATTTTATCCTAAACTAGAGCATGATATTATAGTTAATGTTAAATTGTCCAAATATTCGCTTCTTATCTTACTTTTTCTCCCTCGCGTATTTTACGTAAGATGATGAATCAAACGTTTTCAGACTTAAACTGGTTATTTTAATATCAACAAATTTGCAGTTAAACTCAAGTTTTATTTAGAAATTTTTTATTTAGAAATTGTTTTTATCTAAGATTTAGATTTTATGGTTAACAATTGCATTTATAGCAGCACACTGTTTACTTAGTCAAACTTACGAAAGGAGGGGAAGATTTTAATTTACACTCGGAAGAAAAGTTATAGACACATAAATAAACTGTAAGCAATATGTAATGGTACCCTGCGGTACATACACTGATAAGAAATATATACTGGCACTCCCTGAAGTTCATACACTTTAAACAACGTGTACTGGTACTCCCTGCAGTACACACCCTTTAAACAACGTGTACTGGTACTCCCTGCAGTTCATACACTTTAAACAACGTGTACTGTTACTCCCTGCAGTTCATACACTTTAAACAACGTGTACTGGTACTCTCTGCAGTTCATGCACTTTAAACAACGTGTGCTGGTACTCCCTGCAGTTCATACACTTTAAACAACGTGTACTGGTACTCCCTGCAGTTCATACACTTTAAACAACGTGTACTGGTACTCCCTGCAGTTCATACACTTTAAACAACGTGTGCTGGTACTCCCTGCAGTACATAAACTATTAACAATATTTACTGTTACTCCCTGCAGTAGATACACTTTAAACAAGGTATGCTGGTACTCTCTGCAGTACATACACTTTAAACAACGTGTGCTGGTACTCTCTGCAGTAGATACACTTTAAACAACGTGTGCTGGTACTCCCTGCAGTTCATACACTTTAAACACCATGTGCTGGTACTCCCTGCAGTTCATACACTTTAAACAACGTGTGCTGGTACTCCCTGCAGTTCATACAATTTAAACAATATGTGCTGGTACTCCCTGCAATACTTGAATTGATAACAATGTTCACAGGTACTCCCTGCAGTACATTTACGTTAAACAATTGGTACTGGTACTCCCTTCAGTACATTAACTGTAAACAATGTGTACTGGTACTCCCTGCAATATACTTATACTGATAATAGTGTTTACTGTTACTCCCTGCACTACATTAACTGTAAACAATGTGTACTGGTACTCCCTCCAGTAAAAAAAACGTTAACAATGTGTTCTGGCACTCCCTGCAGTACAAAAAGTGTAAATAATGTTTTCTGGTACTCCCTGCAGTACATAAAGTGTAAACAATACAGCTTAAACCCAAAGTGCATACAGAGTTAAATGAAATTACCCGTCTGAATCTTTAACTGCAGTTACAGCTATGCACTCGCCAAGTTAACTGCAGTATTTAAAAGTACATCTTGTAAAGAATCACGTTTAATTGTTAAAGCGAAGTAAAGAAGGATGGGTAATGTGATGAGGGGAGGCCTAAGAGGGGGGGGCGTAAGAGGAAGTGCAAGTAATAGAAAGAGGTCAGAGTGAGATATGTCGATCAGCGCACGATAATTGTAGCAAAGACAATTAGATTTTTAAATAGCCTTTAAGATAGCTTTTCAATAGGATTTTGAAGTTTATTTTAAAGTAATTTGGAAAATTTTAAAATAAAAACAATTATGATATGATAAAGTATCGTGTTTAAAACCCCATATTTAAAGTTCACAAAATATTTGAGAAATACTGGTGCGAAATGTCCTCGAATTGTCTTTGACTTAAATTGTCTAATTCCTGTTTATTTTTAACCTAATGTTCTAAACTTCTAAATATTTAAACTATGAATTCTGCTAGATTTACCCCAACAGGGTGTAAAGAAATAGGAATTGGAAGTTTATAGTATTGAGGCAAGTCTTCAGTTTCTTTGTACAAATTTTCCATTTTTCATTAAATCTTGTTTTGGTATGCTTCCTTCTTTTCTTGGAAAAACTGTGTAAAAATTGTCTGCAAAGGAGTATAATCAGGGGGTTGAGAGGGAAAAATTGCAGATTAGATTTGCAAGATTGCAATCTGCTCAAAATTACAGGTTCTTGTAACATTAAATAGACCAGAAAGTATGGAAAAGTCTAAAACAAACCTCAATAAAAAACAAGATTACAAAAAAATCGTTGAAAGATTGCGAAATATGTACAGACAGGTCTAGGAAAACAAAGTAACGAAATTATGGAAATACATTGATGAAGTCGAACGGATAAAAAACGGATGAAGTGGGACGTAAACGAATCAAGAAGGACGGATAAAGAATATAGTAGGACAGAAAAAATACAGTAGGACGGATAAAGAATACAGTTGGACAGCAAAAAAATACAAATACAGTAGGACGGATAAAGAATACAGTAGGACAGAAAAAAATAAAGTAGGACGGATAAAGAATACAGTAGGACGGATAAAGAATACAGTAGGACAGAAAAAAATACAGTGGGACGGATAAAGAATACAGTAGGACAGAAAAAATACAGTAGGACGGGTAAAGAATACAGAAGGACAGCAAAAAAATACAAATACAGTAGGACGGATAAAGAATACAGTAGGACAGAAAAAATACAGTAGGACGGATAAAGAATACAGTAGGACAGAAAAAATACAGTAGGACGGATAAAGAACACAGTAGGACAGAAAAAAAATACAGTGGGACGGATAAAGAATACAGTAGGACAGCAAAAAAATACAAATACAGTAGGACGGATAAAGAATAAAGTAAGACAGAAAAAAATAAAGTAGGACGGATAAAGAATACAGTAGGACAGAAAACAATAAAGTAGGACGGATAAAGAATACAGTTGGACGGATAAAGAATACAGTTGGACGGATAAAGAATAAAATAGGACGGAATAAGAATAAAATTGGACGTATACAGAATAAAATAGGACGTATAAAGAATGGAATAGGACGTATAACGAATGGAGTAGCACGGATAAAGAATAAAATAGGACGGATAAAGAATAAAATAGGACGGATAAAGAGCAAAGTAGAACAGATAAAGAATATGTAGGAAAGATAAAGCATGATGTTTGACGAAAAAAAGGAAGTTTTTCTAATACATAATAATACAATGTAATGATTTTTCTTTCATTTGAAATGTTGCTTTTTGTAAATTTTCTCAGTTATATTTCTGAAAAAGGTTCAGGGCATAAATTTTCAGAGCAAAATTTTAAGAAATAATATAATTCTTAGTAACTGGAAAAAGTGTCAAGAAGTTATGTGCAATAAAAAGGAGTAGTATATGTTTACAAAACTTTGCAAAATATTTGAAATTTTGTAGATTTCCAGAATGATCCGCCATATTGTGGGTTCCTTTACGATGCGCACACATGTAATAAAATGTAGAAATTTGCACATGTTGCGGAGTGGCAAGGTTTGCGGATATTGTTTGCAAAATCATTTGCTTTTCATTCGTTCTGGTCAATTTGGATTTACAACTCTAGAATATACAGGGTTAGACTGCACAGAGACGACTTTTAGGAAATAATTCCGTTTTTTTCTTGCATTCTTGTGGATTCTAAAAGCGCAGGAGCGCAACTAACACTTTTGTTCTTTTGTTGGGGGGGGGGGGGAAAGTCTATTTTTGAAGGGTTGTGGGGGGGATAAAGGGGGACTAGCCCCCGGTTAAAAGAATTTTTAATATGAATGTCCTGTATTAAAGGTTTGAAGTCGAAAAAACTGAATTCTTGAGTTGTTGCATGCTCAGTTGTAAAATAAACGATATGAAACAGTTCTTTGAATGTGTGCGCGAAGCGCCATAGAAAATTTATGTTCTTCTCATTCCAGTGTACTATTTTCCCCATTTTAACAGAATATCTTTTAATCTGTTTCTTAGTCCCCTATTATAGTAGAAATTTTTTGTTATTCATCCACAATGTAGTCCTTTTTGTCAAGTATATATAGTCCCTTTAGTGTTGGTTTGTGTAGTCTGCAGTAAGTAGTTCCTTCAAGTACTTTGTGACTATCTTCCTTCTGTTCATAATCCATATATATTCCTGTAGTCCCTCTACCCAATTGTTGATCCGTGGTACTTCTCGTGTCGCTGCAGCAAAAGTCCTGTTAGGCCGATAGAATCCTTATTTATCTTGACATTCTTCTATCATAATAGGCAATTTCTTCTTAGGTCGTCAGGTTTCTGTACCCTTAAATGTCATGTTTTGTAATACCCGTAAGAACTAAGAAGTAACATGTTATTTATATGGATTATATTTGACAGAGGATAAATAAAGTGTGGCCGACTTTCTTCAAATTGAAATAAGATAATAGTAAGAAATTCTATGATAAATGATGCGCGAAGCACCAAAGAAAAATTTTGGCGTTTTTTTCTTCTCAATATTGATATTCGTAATTCTTTCCTTTCCTTCGAAGTTGCTAGGGGAGGGCGGCTCTGTAAAAAGCGGAGTCTCGATCGTAAGACATGTCAATTGTTCGATACCGGGTTTAGAAAACTCAGTTTTCAGTTTACAGTTTACATATCTTAAACATTCTTTTTTTATAATTTTTTAAATTGAATGGCAATCTTAGTTTTCCAAACCAAGTTTTTCAAAGTGGTCCGGTCTTAAGTTTCCTATTACAAATGTCCTTTTTTTATTTTCGAAAATTACATTAAGAACGCAAAGAAATTTAAATTAAAAAAACTTTCGGAAAACATTAAAGAACAAACAGCTGCACTGTATTCGTCATCAATCTAACCTAGTTTTTCTTTGTTAAATTTAACCCCAAAAGCTTCGTATTAAACGGTAGTTAGGCCGTTCAAATATTTTACTAATGAACAATATTTTGAAGATGAACGGAAAATTTCGCTCACGAACGCTTGACTGGACTGAACGCTTTATTATTATAGTTAAGAATGAACGAATGGTTCGTTGCATTAGTTTCACGGAACTTTAACGAACTAGATAAAAATGAATGTCGCGCCAAAGTACACAACACAACATATTTTGCTTATTTTCTCAAATATTTCAAATTATATTTTCCCCTCATTCAGGCATAAGTGGTTTGTGTCAAAAGAATTCACACGTGTTTAATCTAGAGCTTGGATCACTTCATACCTTTATCTAGGAGTAGAAACTTAAAATACACGAAAAATTAAAAATTCTGTCTTAATCAGATCGTTTTAAAAGAAAATTTCTCTTCTACTAAAATCATCTTGAAACATTCTAATTTGATCAATTCTTTAATTGAAATCTATCTCTTGGTTTTCTTAAAATTTCTCTACTCCTAGGTTGAACTACCTATATTCTATATGGTGGGAAAAAATATGAACTATTTACATACAGTCTGTCAGTAAGAAAAGTATCAGTAAATTTCTTAATCAATTGTTTACTCATAATATATTCCAGATGTAATACGTAGAGAGTATTTAAATATAACGTCCATTAAACATGTGCATGTGGTATTGAAAATATCGTTTAAATTCATTGTTATTCATTGTTAGCATTCATTTTACTCATTGTTACATATTTTTTAATCATCTGATGACACTAAATTTTTGATATTTGAAATTTATGACTTGTGTTGATTATAAGGATTTTCTTTAGGGTCAAGTTTTTGTTTTAACATGCTTGCTTTTACATTTTTTTGTGGTTTTTCCAGATTAAAGTATATAAATAAAACTGTTGAGCCTAAATTTGGATACATAAAGGTTACTTCATAAACAGAAAAATCAGTTACGGTGGTAGGCGTTAATATCAATATAATGAAAACGACTTTTTCATTTAAGTTTTATTGTGTACAAGCTTTTTTTAGAATTACAAGTTTACATGTAATTAAAGAGAAGCCTTATAAATTAAGAGCTTCTCTTTGTTTCCATTTATTTGTGTAGTCATGCTGTTTAAAAACTTGATATCAATCAAAATTGAAACCGAAAGTCGTCTTCATTGTATTGCTATTATCGCCTACCACCGTATTGATTTAAATTTTGTTGCTAATAAACTTAAAAGAGAGAACAAAAAAGCTAAAATAACTAATTAGAAAGAGCGTATCGGAGGCTAATGAAATTAAAACTTTCAAGAACGTTTGATACAAAATTTCATTAAAAAAATTGTTTGATTTGAAGATAGTCTTAGTTTGAATTTATTGCCTGACTGCCTTCTAGCCTAACTATCCTGGGGCGTTTCCTAAATATCTTTTCATAATTTGTTGAACTGTTGAAATTCTAATTAACTGAACATTAAAACTATATTCTCGGTTCAAAGCTCCATATTTTTCACGATTTGTCAGAAATTGGTTTTCAGACTGGTATTAATTTGAAGGGGAGTAAATGAGTAGGGTAGAAAGGAGTGAAGGGGAGTAAATGAGTAGGGTGGAAATGAGTAAGGTAGAAAGGAGTGAAGGGGAGTAAATGAGTAGGGCGGAAATGAGTGAGGTTGAAAGGAGTGAAGGGGAGTAAATGAGTAGGGCGGAAATGAGTAGGGTTGAAAGGAGTAAGGGGAGTAAATGAGTAGAGCGGAAATGAGTAGGGTTGAAAGGAGTGAAAGGGTAACAAAATAAAACACGAGGAGGGGGGGGATAAGGGGGGAGAAAGAGAAATAAGGAGGGCAGAAAGCTAGGAGTAAAAGGGTAATGATTTTGAACATGGGGAGGAGTGAAGGTGGAGGGAAGGAGTGAAATGTGGAGGGATGATGTTCCAAAGTATTTTAAGAAATTAAGGAAAGGGAAATGGAGGGGGGGGGGGGGGGAAACCAGCAGGGTTAGGGAGAGATATGAAGATAACCAAACATTACAAATAAGATCAGTTTGAATAATACCCGTATTCTAAACAAGGTTAAATAAACAAGTTAATTATGTAAATAATGCATACAGGCGGGTTGGGCTGTACTTCTATTGTTTAGGATAATTTAAAAGTGTATTGTTCTAAACTATCCTTCTGTTTCAGTGTCTACAAGTACTGTGAGAAGGATAAGAAAGCGTCCCGATGTGAGGTGGGGGACCTGGAGCATAAACACGCTCTGCTAGCAGTTGCAGGACGGAGAATAGATATCTCCGAAACCCGGAGGTTTTTTACAGACTCCAACCTGCCCTTAGCGGGGCCAGCTTCTATTCTTGGACACTCCCTGCTCCTTCATGATGATAATGCTCCAGAACACAGAGGGAACAGGATGGCCTGCACGGCTATACGTCGTCTTTACAGACATAAGGAAAACAATATTTATATATTTTTCGATAATAGCAATATTAGGGGAGGTGGGGGGGGGGGGGATTGGTAAAGAGTAGGTTAAAAAATTAACTCAGAGCTAGGGAAGATAAAAAGGGTAATTGTCAGGTTAAGTAAAAAGTGAAAAAGATTAGGAGGAAGAGATTTTTAAAGATAAAAATTTGATGTTTTAAGATTATTTTTCAAAATCCTTTGAGTAAATCGTTAGATGATAAAGTAAGATTAAGATAGCTGGGCAAAGAGAAAGTATAGCTTGTTTAGGTATGTATAGGTAGGGAAAGATAGATAGGTAAGGGAAGGTAGGTAGGTAAAGGTCCTCTACCTACCTACTAGAGGTAGGAAAAAGTAGACATAGGTAGCGATAGAGAGATGTAGTTAGTGACGTAGTTAAAGGTAGGTAGGGTGTAAAAAGTCAATTACAAAGATTAGATTGGTCGGTCCAACTTTTAGGTTCCAAGTCTAAAGATGACATACCATTTACGTAGTTTATTATTAGATGACATCTAAAGGATAAATGTTGAAAGAATATATATTTGTCCCGAGCACAAATATTTGATCTTGAGAGACTTGGTACTTCACTTCACTTTTCATGATAAATCCTGGGGGCTGACAGTTCAGTTCTCGCTTCTAACAATTGGAACAAACCTCAATTATCCCATATTGTGTTCTGTTAGGAAATATGAATTATAGTTTTTTTGGACGTAGAAATTTCTGAGATTATTAGAGGTGTCTTTATTATTAATTGATAGATAAATATTGTTGTTTTAAAGGCTGTTGCTCGAGAATGGTTTGGGAACGGTTTTCCTCCTCCAGTTCAAGGACGGTTGGAGTTTATCCAGGATACGGAGATGAGTGAAACCCATTCTCTGGTAGAGCTGGAGGGTATGGAGAAGTTTGCCAGTACTTATCACATTCATGAGATATCTGTCCAACCCCAGCTTGAGTTTGCTTGTAGCGGAGATGCGGTTGGGCCTCATTTCAATCCTTGGAGGTTTGATCCGACCGTAAGTCCTCCGGAGGGACAGGGTACACCAGACCAATACGAGGTCGGAGATCTCAGTGGGAAGTATGGTTCTCTGGATGGTAAGATGAGTCTTAGAGAAATCCACAATGACACCAATCTCCCGATGTTTGGATCAAAATCGATCGTCGGACGATCCATCGTGATCCATAAAAAGTACAAGGGTGAGAGATGGGCTTGTAGTAGTATAGGTTGGGGCTGGGATCCCGATGAGGCGACACAGATTACAGCCATTGCATCCTTCCATCATCCCAATGGATTTGCCTGGGGATATATCAGGTTTAGTCAGGTAGTGTACAAGGACGGGAGCAGTACAGATACAGCTATAGAGGTTCGGCTCAAATACCCTGGCAAAACCAACCGTGATGAAACCCAAAACCATCGGTGGTCGGTTTACGTCAACCCTGTGGGACACGATGCATCCGTAAAATTTGTCCGAGCTCGGTGTACAGCAGCAGGATATAGATGGAACCCAACCTTTATACAACTAGCGGATCCTAACGATCACGGGTTCTACAGTGACGAATGTAGTCCGGATGTACCGTTGAGATGCGAGGTAGGAGATCTGTCCGGGCGCCATGGGAAAATCAACGTCGGAGGTAAAGCGAATGTTTTCAGTGATTCCAACCTTGCTCTGGACGGGGACTGGTATAACTCAGCACTTGGGAAATCAATCGTGATCCACGCTCCCGACGGTTCTCCGGATATAATGGCGTGTGCAAACATTGAACCAGACCAGGATATAATCAAATACGCTGTCATTCAAACCTTGCCTGGTTTTAATCTTGCAAATTTCATCGAAGAGGTCCAGGGCGTCATGGGTGTTCCGGACTGGTATTTGTTCACGGACGTGAGAGAAACAAAGATTTTGCATGAAGGACGCTGTATCCAAGTCCTTCTACACTTCAGGGGACCTCATGCTGGTAAACTAGAGCAGGACTTTTCTAAACTGATTCGAACTGGTTCTCTGGATACTCCCAGTCTAGATATACCTGGATATTTTCCTCCGGTCCAAAGGAAAACCAAGATTGGATACAAGGAGTGCGGGAGCAGAGATATTAACAAGCAAACCTCCTACAGCAGTGATTTTAGGAGCGGAGAAACTAAACCAGTACCTGGAGCTATCATTCTTCTTATCCTTGCAGTTATCTCTAGTTTATCCATCTTATAATCACAAACAACCCTTATTCATTCAGCTAAAGAAATCATATAGTCAAAGTCTCCTCCTATTAAATATTATATTTATGTTATAAATGAAGTGTGTGTATAGTATGCTTGGTTTTATGAAATGACTCCGTGCCATGTAATGACGAACAGGGACATCTTGCTGTAAGGTGTTGGTTGAGTGAGATCTAGAACCAATTCTGTGAAGACTGTTATTTTACTTATCACAATAAATTGTTAGAATATATAAAAGTAATTCTAATTGTTCTCTCACTATTATTATCTTCTAATTTTTCAAAAGATTACTATATACCCAGAAGTTGGTTTATTTTCCTGTTTTCTAAATTTACTGAACTTGAATTGCCAGAACCAGTTAAAAATGCCGCAGTTTTTGTCCAGTGTTGATTGCTACTAACCCTGGTTTGATTTGTCTAGTTTAATGCAAAGATATGTGGTAATCTTTACATACATGCGATGACTACTAAATAAAGACTTATTATGATCTTATCTACGCTACAATCGTCGGCGTTCATATCAATACAGTGAAGACTACTTTTCTTATTAGGTTTGATGTACAACAAGCTTTTTACAAGTTTACTAGTAAACAAAGAGAAGCTAATACAGGGTGTCCCAAAAAATAATTCTTTGATTTAGTATAGTTATACCTATACTGAGAAAGTTGTATCTGTAAGAGTTTCGTCTGCTATGTTCAAATTTTATTTGTTTATATTTTGACTGCATACGGTTGTACTTAGTAAAACAAGAAAATTGCAGTATACAAACAGAGTAAACTTGTCCGTCTTCATTGTTTATCTTGTGGAGACATTATAGACACATCTTTACAGTCTTTTACCCTTTTCATAAAATAAACTCTAGCAGGCATAATACTATTATGGCTTTTGAAATTAGGTATTATACAATGCTGGTTCATAACAAAGACGATATCCAATTCGTCACTGAATTCCCATGTTTTTTTGGACACCCTGTAGTTGACAGCCTCTAATTGTGTATCCCACCTTTTTGAAAGCTTGATAGAAATAAAAGTTTAAACCCAAAAGTCGTCTTCATTGTACTAATATATACGACGACTATTATATCTTATGACAATGTGCTTATTTAAAAGGTTGCAGAGTCAAGAACTTTTTCCGAAGGTGAACACAATATCGGAAAGGTTATACATGACAGTTGTGAGACAGCTTAACGATTCTTCTTTGATCTTTGATAAAGATGGAGAACTTAAAATCGCGCGACACTTCTGTTATAGATACTACTTTTCCTTCGATATATTAAAATATATCAAACACGTCATTGCAATCAATTAATTGTCATGTTTGGTGGGACAACTATTCAACTTATTTGACACGCAAATTGTCATCAGACAACCAAAGAGAATAGAATATATATTAGAGTGGAATTTAGTCCATCCCTCGGTATGAATTTTGTCAGTCCCTTTCAGCCTGAAAGGGAGTTCTAAGTGTACAAATTATGTAAATGTTAACAAATTATATGCAGTAGAGTACATTAATACAGTATTAGAATTAGTTATAGAATATCCATTTCAATTTCAAATTTTTTAAAGCTGTTAGATAATCTTTATAAAATTAATTAGGTGAATAAAAAACATCATTTGATTTATAGTTATAACGGAAAATCATCGTTTGTAAAGTGAAAGGCATATAGTCTATGTGAAATGATCATTGCATCATTTATGAAACCAGCCTTTTTCTTATTTGGTTTTCTTTTAATATTAATTTTAGATTTTCTATAAAATGATGTTCCAGGGCCAAAAAGGTTATATAGCGCAAATATGTGAAGTACTCCTGCAGTATGGAAACAGTACAACAAAATGGCCGTTTTACACTTTTTTCTATTAAATTCCACTCTAATATATATTCTATTCTCTTTGCAGACAACTATCAATGATCGTTCGTCTCTTCATCGTCATGTTTAGTGGGTCAGCCTGTATGTAAATTGGTTTCATATTAATTGGGACTCACATATCAGAAGCGATATAACTATATAGGTATCAATAATCTACTAAGGAAATTTATTGCAGATCGTAAAAATATCAATAAAACTAGCGCTACTAAATTATCCTTCCTACTGAGAATTATCATTAAAATTAAGCCGGGGCATAAAACAAATGACGATAATGTCATATATAAATTTATGTTATCTACAGGCTAATGTCGGAGAAGGAACCACGGTCGTCGCAAGATATTATCTTGTTGGGAGCCCAATTTTCAATGGCCAATAAATCGAGTTTTAGCAACAAATATGACAATTTTGACAATAACCTCCATTGTTTCTGAAGCGAAAATACGCAGTTGTCCATTTTATATAAGAAACCCCAATTGAAAAAAAATCAACGAGAAAAGGTGGTTATCTCGTTCATTCTTGATTAAGCAAAGCTTTTAAACGTCCCTTTTTTTCTTCTGGCAATTTCCTCCACCGTTTCTGTGGCAAAAATGTGCACGGTCTCATTAAAGAAAAACCACAATTTAAAAAAAGTTTAAATAGGTCTACCTTCCCATTTTCTGTAACTTCAAAATACCATTAATTTACATTTACCCGACAATGAACTCTTATGTACTCTTAACTCGACATTAAACTATAATTTACGCTATACATAACAACAGATAATAATGTTCCCTTTTTTCTTTGTATCCGACTTTGTACTCAGCAATGTATCATTATTTGTGTACTCTGTACATAACAATGAACTCAAATACATCCTGTACTCAGAAATGAATTGTAATGTATCTTTATGTGTGTACTCTGTACTTAACAATGAACTCTAATACACTTTGTACTCAGCAATGAACTCTAATCAATACCTGTGTACTCTGAATCCAACAATGAAAACTAATGTACTTTGCACCCATCAATGAACTCTAATACACTATAGTACCCAACAATTAACATTATTGTACTCGGCAATGAACGGTAATCTAGCATTATGTATGTTCTCTGTACCCAACAATGAACTCTAATGCACTCTGTACTCGGAATTAACTGTACCTAACAATGAACTCTGCAGCGACTGCAGCCGGTGATTTTAAGAGAGAAAAATTGAAAGGTAGAACATAATTTAACCTTTTGTTTGAGATCTAATCTCAAATGATGAAATACAATAATCTTACATTCATATGTGTATACTTATTCACATTCTTGTTGTAGACATAATTTCAAGTAATCCTAAAGGACCTGAGTTTTTGCAACAAATTCTGGTCTTCTAATACCTGTAACTTTGCAACCTGATGGTGTAAACCTTCAAAATTTCAAACTATCATTATGTGATCTAAAAGAATTCATAGTTTTAAATGTCAAAGATCTCCGATATTGAATTGCAAAGATATTGGGATTAGAAAATCAGAGTTTGTGGCAAAAACTCAGATCCTTTGCAGTGGGAAATGTTTCATTCAAAAAGGTTCCTTTAAAACCTTCGTTTGTTCATCGACAACTGAGATATTCTTATTCTGCATGAGCTAAAAATGAATTGATAGGATACACCGTACATTCAATTTATTTCATCATAATCCTAATCAACTGAGACTTCAAAAACAATAAAAACAATTGTTTTTGCAAGTAAATGCATCATGAAAAGTTTGCCAAATAAAAGACTCTTAAAAAAATTTATTTTTTGTTTATATTTGCGTTTTGTAATTTGTCCTAACAAACTCTATTCTAAGAATTGGTTCATAACACTGCCCACCACATCAAATAAAATATGAAAATATTGAACAAAAACTACAAAAATCTTAATTACAAATATTGTGTTAATCCTAACATGCAAGTTTTGATTTTAACTATGCTAGCTAAGAAAGGGAAATTACGAGTTTTATTTTTAAAATCATAATTAGCTTTAAATGTTTTAGCTTTAATTTGTTTAAAGATTTTTGTTGTTTTTCTTAAAAAAGTACGTTCTTGCAGTTCAATAACAGTAAATTTCTTTGATGATTAATTTAAGTCTTTGCCACAACCTCAAATCAAAATCCCTATATATTTGCAGCCTGAAGGTCAGGCGCGTACACAGGATTTTAGCCAGGGGGGGGCAAGATTTCGCGCGAAGCGCGAAAAAATTTTTTTTGCCCCCCCCTGGAATTGTTTTGTTCAAAAAGTCAATTACCACCATAAAAATACACCAAAAGACTACATTTTTGGGTGTTACTAACCTTATAGAGTCTAAAATTCATACTAAATGTATTCCTTTGCTCGAAAAACTAACTTTAACTTTTTAATTTTATAAATTTAGAAATTTATCACTTAACTCCATCACAGCTAACTAAATCAATAATCACAGCATCATTAAAAAATCATATTTTCACTAATAAACGAAATTTCTTCTGAAATTTGTAGATAGAATTTTACTCCATCTACATATTCATAAACTCTTTTAAGCTTCAATTTTCTTGGATTTGCTTGCACAAACATTTCAATAATTTTCTCAGAAGTGAGCCATAAGTGCAAGATCGTTAGGTCTGCTCTCCGTCATAGTACATCTTGTGTAATGAAGTATTCTCTTTAGAAGGCTAAAACTTCTCTTTCCTTCATTCGATGTTATTGT